ATAACCCCAGACTCATATGCTTCCTTACCAAATCTAGCAGAAACAATGATTTCCCCTAACTTCTTATACAGATGTATCTAAATAGGTATGTAGATAGATACAGATATCAATGGATAGATATAGAGGCAGAGAGATTGAGAGAATGAATATGAATATGAAGGTAGGCAGAGGCACACAGAACTGCAAAATGGAAAGAGAAAGAGAGCCTGAAACCAAATTTGTCCTGAACTTCCCAGAACTTCCCAGAATACATGAATCAAACTTTTTTTTTTTTTTTTTTTTTGCTTAAGCTAATTTCTTGTCTTTAATCTCAGTTTCTTTTGCTTATACTTGAGGGACTTTTAACAAGTAGTAATGAATCCACTTTTTCTCTGAATATTTGTAGGAGTTTTTTCTCACCCACGAAGTTCAAAAATGCCTGAAGAATATGGTTAAGTGGAGGTATCTCCTTAGTATCTTTGCCTGAATCTATAAAAAAAAAGCTGTTTCTTTTATATCTCTTAATACTTTTGTTCTGTTTGTTCTTGTCTCTGTATGTTGAGTGTATTTAAGACCAATGATCCGTATTTGTCATTTCTTGACATTTCAACCTGTTGATCTTTTTCTCTGTAGCCTGGGAAAACTTCCAGTGTTGTGATTTTCAACATCGTATGTTCTCGTCTTCACCTCTCAGGAGGCAGGAGATTTTGCCTCCTGTTGTATTGTTTTCCCCTCTACATTATTACTGTTACAAACTTCAGGTTTATTTTAAAATTTCCATCTATTTCTCAGCCTCTGCCTTTAAGTCTGTAATTTTAACGAGTCTATATTTTCTCAAATTTCTGGAAAGTACCAAGAAATTCACCTCACTTTTTTTTTCCTGTTACACGTCTTTTTCAAATGCATATGCTTCCTCTGCAGAATATTTTCATAATCATAGGCTCATATATTTTATAGACTCCTTTTTTCTTCTATTTATATCTTCGTGAATAAAGTGAGGTCTATTTACCTTTGGTGTTTACCTGTTTAAACAAGATAGCTGAGTTATCTTCAGATCTCCTCCCTGTATGTCTGATTACTATTAAAATAATAATAATAATAGCTAAAACAATATTATTTTTAGATTTTAAGCTGGAAGACTGACTGGCATATATTTACATTACTGGCAGATTAAGATGTGTGGAGAAGGAGCAGAATCCTGAACTATCACATGGGCAAGAATTTAGTTCTTCCTTTGAAGCTGTTGTACTGGATGCTAACTGTTCGTGTGTGGCCCTCCATATGGCATGGCTTTATCTGTCCTCCATTCTTGTCCTGCTGACCAATGCCTCAAAATGAAACCTTGCCTCACTGGGGAGAAAGCGGTACTGTTTCAGAGGAGTCTTGCTACAGTGTCTGGAATAACAGCATGCTGCCGGGATCTCCTTGAACAGCTTTTTTGGAATGGTACTGATCCATGGCTACAAATACAATTCTAGGGAGTGTTTTCCTTATGTTCACTGCTACCCTCCTCCCAGCCCTTGCTCCTCCTCCACATTGGCTGGTGTTAGTAGGGTTCTGCTAGGATGTTGTCTGCTCGCTTTTTTTCTCATTAGCAGATCATAAGTGTTGTCTCTCCATCTGGTTTTATTAGAACCATTCAGAGGCCATACAAAACATCCTTCTCAATTTTTAGCACAGATGCAAGTTTTCTCCCATTTTTATCACCCTTTTCCCATTTTAATGGGGTCTGGGAGGGGGGAAGAGGAAAGTTGGGCCCAGTTTCTCCAACTATCTCTTCAGTCTGTCCCTTTTCTTCCACCCCCATTGATACTGTTTTATCTTGTATCCCATCATGTCTAACTCTGTGTGTGTGTTTTTTTTTTTTGTTTTTGTTTTTGTTTTTTTACAAGAGTCCTCTACTGCATCTTTCTACCTCTTTTTTCAGGACTGCTCTTTTGGTGTTGACACCCAGTTGATTAGTGGCTTCACTCCAGGAGATATTTTGTTGTATTAGAGTTGTGTTTAGTTTCACATAATCAAAACAACTCTACTGTAGCTGAAGCAGAAAACAAGAAGACCAGAGGTGGTCAGTCTAGGACTGGTTGGGTGACTCAACAATGCCATCAGATGCAGGCTCCTTCTGCCCTCCTGCCCTCCATTTCTGTGAGGTCTGCTGCACCTCCAGGCTGGGCCTGGGTTCCAGGAGGGAGAAAGGTAGAGAGGAAGATGCAGCACCAAGAGACTTCTACTTCCAGTTCTTTGGCTGGGAATTGGCTCATTGCCACTCATAGCTGACCAGAGGCAGGGAAATTGAATCTTTATCTTTTACAGACTCTATGGCAGAGGCAGGTGAGGAGGAAGGGAGTTAGAAAAGCAGGGAGGTCAATTAAATTCTGGTGTCTGCCACCTTCTTTGTTGCCAACATCTGTTGGTCAGAGGAAACTCTCGCAGCCCAGCACAGTCTTGGCCTCAGAATATTGTTTTTATACAGAGGGGAAAAAATTGGTTGGAGGGAGTATAGCTCTAAGTGGGTATTTTTTTTCTGCATCTACCACCTCCAGACTTCTGTTTCTCTAAATTAGGGAATATTAGTATTTCCCCTCAAATTCTGTCTGCTTTATTATACCGCACTACACCCTTAGTCAAGGAGAACAGTGATGTATGGATTCAGTGGTTGTTGAGATTTGCACTATGAGGCTGGAACTTTTCCTTGGATTTTACATGGATTAGTTTTAATGATTGTGCTTTCTTTTTTAAAAAAAAATATAGTCTGCTTTCTTGATGGGAGATTTGTAAACATGTATGTATGTCACCAGCTTTCCCAAAGGTGTCCCTGTCTTTTTGTTTTTGTTTTTTGTATTTTTGGGTTTTTTTGGATGAAGGCAATTTTGTGGCCCCAGATCTTTAGGGTTCTTGCCTCCTTTACTTCTAGTAGCCCAGTCGGGCCTATTTATTTCTTTTCTTTCCTTTATTGGGTATGGCCTGGCCGCTCCTTGGCATTTTGGATCACTCTAGACATTAAATGACTTTTTCCATTTCTTTTGTGTGTCTCAGTGGCCACAGCAGGTTCAGAGCTGCAGCCAGCTGTGCAGAAGGTCAGAGAATGCTAATGGGACATTTAGCACCAAGCAATCCTGCTTGCCTTTCTGTGGAAAACAAGACTGAATTGACAGAGGAGGAAATGCAATTCTAATTTAATGTAGAAGACAGTCCCAAGTTAGGACTGCCCGTTATATTAGTCATTGACAGATATAATTAAATATATTACTTCACAAGAAATAATGAGGGAGTGGGAGATCGTTATGGTGTGTGTCACCAGACACATTCCGTACCAAGTACTTCTTTTGTAACATTGAAGATAGATTTAGATTGTGCTTGATAAACATACAGTAATTTGTGCACGTTAGAATTATGTTGAAATTTGAATTTTGGGAATAAAAGTGTGATTTGGGGATGTATGCTAGTACAATTATAGTTCGAAAGACTTTTAAGCTACATACCTATGGAAACATCTATCCTTCTAAATGTTATTCTGCATTCTCACTCTCCCCCTGAGGCAGCTGGATCAATTGGAGAAATCAGGTAATTTGGAGTTAGAAGTCCTGGATCATTTACTAAATATGTCATTTCAGAGAAATCACTTGGTTCTTGACTCTCTGTTTTGTCACCTATAGGATGGTGATAGTGGCATATTTCAGAGTTGTTGGAAGTATCACACAGCAGGATGTACTTTGTAAATAGCAAAGTCTTACATATATGTAAGTATCTACTCTTTTGTAAACTGGTTTTTCATGTAACAGTTACAACACGCTTTTTAATTGGATGGATGGTATTCCATTTATATGAATGAGTCATATAAGTGGTTTAGGTTGTTTTGTATATCTGTCTATCTATCTGCCTGCCTATCTATCTATCTATCTATCATCTATCTTCCATCCCTATATATACATATGCTCTCTTAGAAACTTTTGAATATACAATACAGTATTAACTTTAGTCATCTCTCTGTAACTATGGGTGCAGTTTATTGTTGCTGCTGCTGCTTGTTTTAAATACATATATGGTATTTTATGTGTTATTCCAATTCATTGTAATGATCACTTATTGTTTGTACAATTGTGAAAAACTGTTCTGTGGTAAAACCTCACTCCCAAATTCTGCAATGCAAAAATTCTACAAATAAGATAAGATGGCAAAAGATTGACTGTCAATGTCTTTTTACAGCATATATGGCAAGTAGGCTAATTTTCTTAATACATGAAGAGCTTTTAAATAAATCAACAAAAAAGTTGAAAACCCTAATATAATTTGGGTGAAGAACATGAATCAGCAGTTTATGGAAAAAAAATACAAATGGCATATATGTGAAAAGATGCTCATTTCTTTTAGTTAAAGAAATGAATTTAGATTCAGAGTGCTTTTTTTCACTTATCAGATTGGCAAAGAGGCATAGAAATGCTTTATGGGCATATAAATTGGTGTGAATTTTTAGCAGTCAATTTTGCAATATTTTAAAACATTTCAATGCAAATTTTGGCCCATCATTTTCACTTCTAGGATTTTATCTTATACAAATAACTGGTGAATATAGAAAGATGGCATAAGGGTGTTCATGGTGACATTTTGCATATCGATGTGTCAGCTAAACAAATAACCAAACTGTAAAGTACCTGCATAGCCTGTATATCTCTCACTGTAGTACTGTTCGAATTATGTATATTCATAAAGTGAAATTTTATATAGCAACTAGAAAATGGACTGATCTCTATGTACTCATTTGAAAAGAAATTCCTGAAATGTTGATGACTGAGAAAAGCAAGATCAGACTTGCTTTTCATGCTTTAAAATTTTTATTTATTTATTTATTTTTATTTTTTGGGGGACTGCAGGCAGGGGAGGGGCAGAGAGAGGGGAACAGAGGATCTGAAGCAGACTCTGCACTAACAGTGGTGAGCTGGATGTGGGGCTTGAATTCATGAACCCTGAGATCATGACCTGAGCTGAAGTTTGACGCTCAACCAACTGAGCCACGCAGGCTCAGCCCCAAGATTTGTTTTTTATGCTTTTATGCACTTATGTCATATGTATGCAATCAAGTAGAAAAAAAATGTGATTGCTTATGCAGAGACAACTTCTGGAAGAATATATAAGAAATTGTTGAAGGGGTTCAACTGTATGGTGATGGACGGGAACTAGATTTGTGGCGGATCACTTTGTAGTGTGTACAGATGTTGAATTGTAAAGCTGTGTGCCTGAACATTACAAAATTAAAAAAAATTGTTGACAGTGATTATTTTCTGGGAATTAGATTCAAGTAAGCAAAAGGAGAGGGGAGGAGTTTACTTTTCACTCACTTTCTGTACCTTTGGAATTCTTCCTCCCCAGTATTTTATTATGAAAAAATGTACATTTTCAAAGTTTGTTTATATTGAGAGAGAGAAAGAGAGAGCATGAGCAGGGGAGGGGCAGAGAGAAAGGAGAGAGAGAATCCTAAGCAGGTTCGGCACTGCCAGTGCAGAGCCTGATGTGGAGCTTGAACCCACAAACTGTGGGAACATGACCTGAGCCGAAACCAAGAATCAATCACTTAACTGACTGAGCCACTCAGGCACCCCTGGAAAAATTTTAAAGTACAGAAAGTTTAAAGAACTATTCAGTGGACACCAATAAATTCTCCACCTAGGTGCTATAATGGTTTGTTATAATTGCTGTATCACTTAATTACAAAACAAGGATGATGAATTATTTTTACAATTTAGTAGGAAGTCAGAGTTTAAGCAAGAAGAGTACATTAGAATAACGAAATAGAAAATCAAAGAAGTACATAAATCTACTGAAAGAGAAGACTAAATAGGATGATGTGACAAATATAAGCAGCTGTTAGGAGTACAAAGTTCAATGGAACAATTCTATGCAAGAGGAAAAGACATAGAGGCTCTGAAACAGGAGGAAACGGTTTCCTGCCTGCAGTTCTTCAGGTCTGAGGTCAAGGGAGAGTGGTCCCAGAGCTGAGAAACTCCAGGGAACAGGTAGCTTTCCATCTCACATGAAAGGCCCTTTACGTGTGCCATGGTGATGGTCTTCAGACCCTGAAGCGCTTCTCACACTTCAGCGAATATTAATCACCAGGAAAACTTGCTGACACATATTTGACCCTCACAAGCTCTATCTCTGTCCTTGTGTGGAAATGAAAGATCTCACAAAAGAGCTGTAACCAGTTAAGATCCGAGGGAGGCCTAGAGAGGAGAGTTTTGTTTTGTTCTAAATTTCCTAGTTTCAACACTGAACCACATCTCTGTGTGTAAACATTGATTCAGTAGAAAAGAGTTGGGGTTCCCAAATCTGAACTCGTAACAAGCACCCTGGGTAACTTGATTGCAGGTAGGTGCTGCAGAGTATTGTCCTTCTCGAAGGATGTGGGGTTTTTTTTTAGCCCCCATGAAGATCCAGCTGCTCCAACACCCTGCAGCATCCCTTTGCCAGGAATGCCTGTTTGCTTAAACAGCTCTTATTCATTTTCTAAATGATCTTAATTACTGAGTTCCTAAGGGAGTGAATCATAAAGAGCTTTATCTCTTGGTGCAGGTGAATGATCTCACCCACAGTGTTGTAAACCAGCTTGGACGGGGGTGGGGTCTAGAGAGAGGAGGTTATTATGATTTTTTAACTTTTAGTTCTTTGATTTAGCCCTGGTGCTGTGCCCCTCGGTGTAAACCTTCACTGAGGCATTTGATGCCATCTTCTCTAACCTCTGATTTATGGGGGGGCAGGGGAGGAGGTGGGTCTAACAGATTCATGTGTTTTAAATATTCACTTTTCCAAGGGCTAAAAGTCACCAAGTCCCTTTCCTGGTGTTTTTCCTTGGAAGCTTTTCCTTACTGCTATCACAGAGTATTCGAATTCTCATCAGTTTTCTTGTGACTTTTGTGGAATGTGCTGGTAGAATTGCAGCTGTCACATTGCCTACTTAGAACAGGTTTCCCTCCCCTGAAGGATTAGTAGGGAGGCAAACTATTTGCAGTTGCCTCGACCCCACCTCTGACAGTTCTGTAACCCCATGAGAAAGAACAACCTCAGAGCTTCTCAGTCTTTCTGAGTGACATGTTTCTCTTCCTTGTCTATTCTTGCCGTCTCTTTTTCCATTTTGGTTGGTCAATGTAAGTTAAAAAATTTGTTTCTATGGTGGCCCATCAGCTAAAAGAAAACATGCTGTCTCAAGTGATGAGTAACTTAATATTTATTTGTTTTTTTTAAATACAATGACCACTTCTTGAGCTCATCCTGTGTACCAGGCATTGTGCTAAATGCTGGAGACATGGGCGAAAAAGCAGACAGTGGCAGACAAGTCTCCCAAGAACCTTGACAAATCCAGGTTGAAAACACCCCATATAATGGGGAACAGCCTGAGTAAAAGCCTGGGAGTAAGTCTGTAGCATGGAGGCTATTCAAATGTGGTTGGGATACAAAGTGCTTGATGGGAAAGAAAAGATTTTTTGAAGACCTGGTATTACTGTCAAAAATCTGAACATTAATCAATAGGAAATTATTTCTTAATCAGTTTTTTTTTTAAATAAAGCTACAGAGGACATATCATTCTAACATAAAAATGCACTAAGTAAAATAATGCTTCTATTTTCCTTTGTAATCAGTGAGGTGAGGGACGTATGGCAAGAGCTGAGGAGGGTAGGGATGATGAAAGGAAAACGGGAAGAAATTCATATTGACAGATGGTCCAACAGCAAGGATCAGCAAAGACAAAGCTACATAGAGAAGAAGGTAGATGGATGCATATCCTGAGGGCCTGGAATAGTGCCTGGTACATAGTAGGTGCTTATGAAATAGCTACTAAGTGAAAAACAGAATGAATGGCATGGGGAGAAAAAAATAAAAGGAAATAGGCAGATAGTGCAAGGAAAATTTGACAGTACAGACAGAAACATCTATATTCCAAGGAAGCAGATTAGAAAGGGAGCTTGGGAGAAAGGACAGGGGGGACCCAAGGAGGCTCATAGATTAGGTGAGAGCTATTGAGCAAATGAGCCTTCACATACTCTGTGTCTTAGACATTGTGCTGGGTGAGGACTGTAGGTCTGGGGAAAGTCACTCAATGCTTTTGAGTCTCATCTGCTAGAAAAAAAAGCATTGAAAGGAAATGGAATAGAATATAGTGTTGTAAAATGTTACAATCTGAGGCAGTTAGGTGGTGGGGATATGGGATTTTTGCTGTACTATTCTCTGTATTTAAGTGTACTTTTAAACTTTTTCATAAAAAGATCTTAATAAATAATAGGAGGGCTAATGAACCGAGCATGGGCCCATCTCATTCCCTCCTCCCTGTAAAGTCACTGGAGTCACAGTAGTCAAGACATGGCCACAGACTGGATATGGGAGGGCAAATGGCAGAAGGTCACGTTTATTCTAACAGTTGGTGTCCTCATGACTAAGTGGGTGATTGTGTCTAATGGAATGACAGGTTTGGGAGGGAATCCAATAAATCCACTTGTCAGTAATGTTGGGGGAATGCTCAAGGAAATATTTGTAGACCAAAGGAAGTTCGTTCCTTCTAGAGCTGGGGTTTCTACAAGGCACTGTGGGGAGGCTCACAGGCAGGGAAGCATGGAGGTGGGAAGCAGGGGTGGGGGGACTGGTTGGGAGGGGTGAGAAGAGAGACTGGGGGCCTTGACGTACAATTTTTAATAGTGAAGAAGGAGGAACCTTGGGTGGAAGCCTAGATGGAGGGTGTGGCGAGGAGAACAGCTGAATTTGTTGAATTATCCAGCCACAGCGTCCCCGGTGGAATGTTGACTTGTTGGCCTCTGCAGAATTGTTGGCCTCCCAGGTGCTGGGCACAGTTGCTCGGAGCAGCTCCTGAGGGGAAGGTCAAAGGGTCAGGAAGGAAGGAGGTCAGAGGGGAGAGCTAGAGATACCAGGCTCTACAAAATGCACTTATTTTTCTTGGCATCTGACAGGTGGATTAGATGAAATCTAGCTGCGGGCCTAGCCCAGTCAGGCCACAGATTCCCTGAACTGTTCTCACCACCCAGTAAGTTCCTACCTTTGTAAGGTATCTCTTCCTCACATTTTTTTCTCTTTTGGTGGACATTCTATGTCAGTGTTTATTTGCTAAATGACAGTTTAAGGGAATAAGTGTAATAACCTATTTGACTAAGTGGTTTTTGAAAGTGACAAATCAGTTTACTTAATAAAAGAAAATTTGATGTTATTATGAATTCCAGATATTTAACACTCTTTTTTGGGGGGCGGGGGAAGCCTAACTCATTAACTGAATTAGAGAAAGATTTTTTTGATGTCTGAGATTGAGGCAGATTTTTAATTTTGTCTGCATGAAGGAAGATTCCTAATGCAATGATTGGTTTAGAAAATCATAAAACCACTTTGTAACATGTTCATGACAAAAAACAAAGACTATGTCACCATGGATTCCAAACAAAATTAATATCATGTCCCAAATAAGTACTGCTGTTTAGAACATCATAGAGGGGGATGGGAGAACACAAGCTTAATTAATTATTTCCTTGGTTGGAAAACAAAATCTTTGAACAAAGAGAACATTATCTCTATAAGACAGTAACATTTCTAATTTTCCACCCCCAGTAAGGCCAGCAAACAATAAAGGCAAGCCTCTAACTGGGTTTCGAATCACTCACATCTCACATAAACTTGGAAAATTACAACAGAGAGTAATTGAGAGATTGTGTCTAGATAGTTGGAGTCAAAAGACTGGTCTGCTCCCTTTTCTGTATTTTCCCCTTCAGAGCATACGAACCAGGGTTCCTGTCCTTTATTTCTCTGCATCCACCCAGTCATCAAATCCTACTTGTTATGATACTTCCAATATCGGCTGTACTCAAACTTAAAATGTAATGGAGTGAGGGCTTTCACCAGAAGGGCTAAAATTATTGACTTCCAGGCACTGTCATGCACACGATTTTGGTCCTTTGGCAGCGCTCTGGTAAGGCCCTGTTAACTGTTGTCCTCATCAAGGTTTCACGGATGGGGAAACTGGTTCTCCGATGTGGCTGCCCATTCGCATGGCTGGGGTAGGGGTGGGGCTTTTAAAACTGTCAGTGCTCAGGCTACCATCCACTTGGACCAATTAAATCAGACCCTCTGGGGGCGCCTGGGTGGCGCAGTCGGTTAAGCGTCCGACTTCAGCCAGGTCACGATCTCGCGGTCCGTGAGTTCGAGCCCCGCGTCGGGCTCTGGGCTGATGGCTCAGAGCCTGGAGCCTGTTTCCGATTCTGTGTCTCCCTCTCTCTCTGCCCCTCCCCCGTTCATGCTCTGTCTCTCTCTGTCCCAAAAATAAATAAAACGTTGAAAAAAAATTTTTTAAATAAATCAGACCCTCTGAAGGCAAGACCTAGGCTTCTATGATTTTTTAGACCTCCTCAGGTGATTACCAAATGCACCAAAGGTTAGACCTACCAACTGTTAGAGGAATTGATTAAGCAGCACAAGGTCACAGGGATGACTGAGTGAAGGAATAGGGGTTGGAATCCAGGTCTGTTAGATTTTAGAGCCTCATCTTAACCTCTCCACTATATTGCCTCTCAAAGTATTTAGCACTTCTGGGCAGGCACCGAATATTCTTGCGTCAGGGACATGTATAAGAATATTCATGGCAGCCCTTTTGGTAACGGGTGGAATCTAGGAACAAACAGAAGTGTTCAACAACAGTAGAATGGGTAAACTGTGGTGTGTACTAAGACTGAATGTTTGTGTTCTCCCCCATCCCGAACTCATAAGTTGAAGTGTTAACTCCCAGTGTGATGGTGTCAAGAGGTGGGGTCCTCTGAGAAGTGATTAGGTCATGAGGGTGGGGCTCCCGTGAATATAATTAGTGTGTTTGTAATTACAGAGACCCAAGAGAGCTTCATCATCCCCTCTGCCATATGAGGACATCTTTATCAGACACCAGACCTTCTGGCACCTTGATCTTGGACTTACTTCCCAAACTCCAGAACTGTGAGAACTTAAACTTCTGTTGTTCACAAGCCACCCAGTGTGTGGTATTCTGTTATAGCAAGCTGAATGGGCTAGCACAGTGTGTTAAGGGAATGGAATACGATACAGCAATAAAATAGAATTCCATCTTTTCACAAACATGAAACCATACAATTGTGTGTTTGGGTACATAATCATATTTGGAGAAATTTTCATAGAGAAGCAAAGCAAAGTTCATGAAGCAGAAATTGAGGGAAGGTGTTGGGTTATGGAAGGAGCACATAGAAAGCTTTGAATATAATGTTCTATTTCTTTTTTTTTTTTTTAATTTTTTTTTTAACGTTTATTTATTTTTTTGGGACAGAGAGAGACAGAGCATGAACGGGGGAGGGGCAGAGAGAGAGGGAGACACAGAATCGGAAACAGGCTCCAGGCTCTGAGCCATCAGCCCAGAGCCCGACGCGGGGCTCGAACTCACGGACCGCGAGATCGTGACCTGGCTGAAGTCGGACGCTCAACCGACTGCGCCACCCAGGCGCCCCACTGTTCTATTTCTTAAACTGGGTGGTGGGTAGGTACAAAGGTATTTTTGAAGTTTTTGATATTCTCTATATGTTTTATAAACATTCCTTTTAGATCTGTTAATGTTTTAAATGACAAGAAAAGAATAATTATTGTTTTTATGAAATACATTTTATTAATGCAATTCCAGAAATATAAAGTACTAAGCAAAAAACTAAAGACAAAAAAGAAAAAGCCCCACCAAAGGTGTCACCACCCAGAAACACATATTAAGTGATAATCATTTCACAGTATTTTTTATGCAAACATACAGAAAGGACAGATATGTAGACAAATGAATTAGGATTGCTTCAGTTATCTAGTGTGTGTAACAAACCACCTCTAGAGTTAGTGGCTGTGACAACAAAACCCAGTTATTTACTCATGATTCTGCAACAGAGCAGAGCTTGCTGGGATGCCAGTCTTCACTCCACGTGTTGGCTGGAGTTACTTGTGCAGTTGTATTCAGTTGGGAACGTGGGTGGGGTTGGAACATCTAAGATCACTTCCATGTTCAGAATCTCTGCCGGGATGGCTCAGGGCCTCCTGGCTAGGTTTCTCTTTTTCCATGGGTTCTCATTACCCCATGGACCCTGAGATGGAGAAAGCAGAGGCTACAGGTATTTTAAGATCTAGGTGTGTAAATCCCAGAACATCCCCCTCCCATGCATTCTGTTGCTCAAAGTAAGTCACAAGGCCAGCTCAAGCTCAAGGGAAAAGGGAACAGACTCTCCCTCTCAATGTGCAGAGAGACATGGGCCTATAGGGATGGAGGGAAAGTTGGAGGCTCTTAGGAAATGATCCACCACTGTGTCTGTAATAAGTAGGCTGCTTTTCATAGTCTGTTGGCAGAAAGCTGGGTTTTCATGATGTTTTGAACAACTTCATTCAGTAATTATTACTGAATATCTACTATGTGTCAGGGACTGTTTTAATCATCATAAGAGCAAAGAACCAAGAGACAAAAACTACTGTCTTCATGGAGCCTACATTTGAATGATTTAGGCAATCGTTCAGACTATATGCTGTCTTATACTAGAAATCAATAAAATTTGGCTAAAGAAAGTTTGGTTAATTTAAATAAAAGAATAAGAACAAGTGATAGCTGCTGACCTTAGTGGTCTACCTGAGCTCCGATAGAACTAATAGAAAAAGTTTCCAGAAATAGAAATCTTCGTGGGATTCCATTCAAATGAATTCAGCAAATATCTATTGTATACAGAAATCTTTCCTGGCTTCCCAGCATGGGAGACAATTTTGGAAGCATTTGATTTGATTCAGTTAAGGGTTTGATGGATATATATGTGAGGTGCCAAAGGATATACACATGATTAAAACACAGGATATCTTCCCTCATGGTGGCAGCTATGTTGAATACTTGGTTTTTTGTTTATTTATTTTTTAATTTTAGAGAGAGAGCATGCGTGAGCAGAGGAGGGGGTGAGAAACAGAGAGAGAGAGAGAATGCTACTGTAGGGCTGATCCCATGACCCTGGGATCATGACCTGAGCTGAAATCAAGAGTCAGATGCTTTCTTGGCTGAGCCACCCAGGTGCCCCCATGTTGAATACTTACGACTATATATCTACGGTATAAGTACCACAAGTTGCTATCAATGTGGTGCTGAGATCTGATAGAAGCCAGTATGTCATTCATTTCTGGGAATCACTGAGTCTTCATGAAGGAGAGAGAATTTAAGCTGGTTCTTGAAGATTTTTGTAAAAATACTTTTAATGTTTATTTTGGAGAGAGGCAGAGTGTGAGCAGGGATGGGGCAGAGAGAGAGGGAGATACAGAATCCGAAGCAGACTCCAGGTTTGGAGCTGTCAGCACAGAGCTCGATGTGGGGCTTGAATTCACAAACCATGAGATCATGACCTGAGCTGAAGTTGGACGCTTAACTGACTGAGCCACCCAGGCGCCCCTGGTTCTTGAAGACTGACAACATTTTCATGTGGGTGGATGCTAGCAGGCCTGTAGAAGGCCAGAATTATCTGATGTACCCTATTACCATCCGTTCACATGGTGAGTGCATCTTTCCCCTTTGTTTCTAGCTGAAGCAGGCTGGTGTGGGCATTAATGGCTCTTCAACGATTTCCATTTTCTACCTGAATTCATTGTTTAAATGACCTGTTTACATTACTACTCTGGGTGACATCTATGCCTAGAGATGTCTGCTAGTTGAAAATGAACAAACAGTAGCTTGGTGTTTCTTATCTCTAATGGACGTTCTGCAAATCCCTTAGCTTTAGCATTTAATGTGCAATGGATTTTTTAAAAAAAATGAATAAAAGGAATAGAGAATGAAGGGCACACACATCCAGGTGCTGTGTGTAAACATCATGTTATTCTTATGTCAGGTGACTCTAAGCAGAGGATATGCAGTTCGAATGCAGTTGACATCACAGAACTGTGTGTGCCTCTCACTGACTTGGCATCCTCTTTGTGAAAAATGGACTTGTGTTTGAGGTTGAACTTATTAATCTCTGCTGTATTGAAATTTGTAAAACCATTTTC